AAAAAACTCCATGTAAACTACTGTATAAATTATATGTGAATAACAATTTTACTCAATCTATTCTTAATGTCCCACTTCTAATGAAAATGGAAAAATCTACATTCTGTGTCCTTAAGCATGGCCTTTGCTTTTCCAGATGCATGCAGAACACCGTGGATGGTCCTTCTGAGGTTGTTGAGGATTACCTGTGTGACCCAGAAGAGATGCCTATTGGTGCTAGGAAATGCACCTTGCCATGTCCAGAGGACTGTGTCATGTCTGAGTGGGGCCAATGGTCTTGGTGTTCCTTGGTAAGGTAGCAGTTATGCAAAAGGGTTGGTGGATGTGGTGAATATATGAATATTCTCACTTGTTCCACAAGTGTTCTTTCTATAGCTAGCCAGGCTAGTCAGCTGCCCCTGGGAATTTCAAAGAGAGGACTCCATGTGGTTACATAGGAAGCTGCCTTATCGGGCAAGGATTGGAAAAGGTTTTAGCTTCTATCCCACTATGATCTCTGTGGAGACTACTGGAGGGAGGCTCTTATCTTATTCACCTCCAATGATCTTTATAGAGATTGCTGGACACCAGTGTTTCCCTTGCATCTGGGGGGGAATGGGAGCAGGAAACAGGCTTTATCTCTGTCACCAACCACTACCCCAGCTGTGTTACCAGCACAGAAACTGCAATGCCACTTGGCCCAGGAGGGGGACCATTTGGCAATGGCAAGGCGTGAACAACTTGTATTTGGTGCTGTGTGCATCCTTGTTTTAATAAAGATGCCAAAGATTGAATGTGGTACCACTGGAGGCTGATGATTCTGATTTCTCGTAGGCGGGGTTAGATCTGTTCCAGATTTTAGTCTTGACTGTAACAAAGCTATCTAAGTGGGGTAGGTTCAGTACCTTGGATAGCTCTTATAGACTTCACATCAAAAATCTGGACAGATGTATTGTCCCTGTGAAATTTGAGTCTCCTGCCTCCCCTGCTTTCCATTCTTTCCCACTGAGCTGTGATTCTCTTCTGCACAGCAGTCCTCTTATGCTGCTCATGTTTACCAGGAGATAATCATTGATAAGAACCAATGGACTTCCCTGAGCTTGTTTTTGATACTGCAAATTATAATAAATGGCAGTGTAAACCCTTCTGTAAAAGGAAGCCTACTCCACTTCTCCGCTTTTGGTCCCTTGTTGGGAGAAATGCGGCATATAAATAAAACTAATAATAATCAATCTATTGAAGCCTCCCTTGTTTTCTTCTGCTCCTTCTCATTAAACTCTCCCAAACGCACCAAAACACTTTCCAATCTCTCCCACAAATCCCTCACTTTATAGCTGGCTTCCCCCCCCCCAATACCATGATTAAGATTATAGTGGGCCCTCGATTTACTAACTTAATCCGTTCTGGAAGTCCATTCGTAACCCGAAAAGTTCGTAACTTGAATCAGCATTTCCCATAGAAATGCATTGAAAACAATTTAATCCGTTCTGGCTGTTTTGGTTCTTAAATCGAGGGTGCGGTTCACAAGTTGATTCATAGTTCCCATACGAACTAATGCAAAGCTGCTTAATGTGTTCCTACCATTAGGAGCAGATTTTTCCCCTTTTCCCTTTTTCCCCTTTTTTTGGTTCGTAAGTTGATTCCACATTCGCAAGTAGGGTCTATAGTTTCTTATGAGATCGGGTTCATAACCCGAAACGTTCGCAACTAGGGTCGTTCGTAAGTTGAGGGCCCACTGTATAGGGTTCAGATTGCTAGTAAGATCCTATGATCAGCATTCTGTTGGAGTTTGCAGAAGGTTTGAATATCTTGCTGCTGCTAATTGCAGCGAATGCACAAGGTAGCAAAGCCTGTTGCATTCATGTGCCTGTATCACGTATCCAGTTATGCGCCTGAGTTGTGCTACAGCACTAATTATTCAGCTGTAATTAGTCTTGGCCAGTTATGCAAGCCTTACGTGAACTTCAATAGAATTCTGGCCAATTAATCTAATTAATCATTTGGAGCAGGAGCTGCATGCTGAGGAGGAAGTAGAGGAGTTCGATGTGGTTTATCTAAATGGCGGTTCAACAGACTCCCCATCAAACACAGCATCTGAATTCCTGATCCCAAGAATACACCAGTTGAAATATATGTATATATGCCAAAATCCTGTTACATAGTTATTCTGTCAGAAGAAAACTGTGTAACTTGCAGTGACAAATCACCACTAATAAATGAGTCTCCACTTGAATGGCTGGTTGTACAGCAAGATAACTGACTGGTGTGTGATGAGAAATCCAAGCAGATATTCATTAATTAGCAGCAATTTTCCATGGCAAGTTACACCATTTTTCTTCTTCTGATCTAACTATGCAATACAATTTTGGCCCTTGTTCTGTAAAACATGCTTTAAAGCTTATTATATATTTATTACATTTACTTATGATTCTTCCCTCCCCATCATTTCATCATCCCAGCACTCCAGTGAAGGAGGTTCATTTTAAGAAATAGTTGTCAGTTTTAAATTAAGAGTAAATGAGTGAAGTTTGTTCAGTGAGCTTCCTGTATAAGTGAAAATTTTAGATACTGGTATTGTAGGTTTCAGTCCAATTCCTTGAGTGTCATACTACACTGATCTAAGCCTGATGCATATTTTGTATCAAAGTCAATGATGTGTATCTTCCTTTCTCAGCCATGTGATGGAAGCAGTGTGAGAGAGCGGTCCGCAGAAGTTATGAGACAACCTCAGGAAGGGAAATCCTGTCCTCCCACTGTGGAGATAGAGCCTTGCAGTCTGAACAAAAATTGTTACCACTATGAATACAATGTGACAGGTACTGTGTTAATTAAGAATTACTTGCAAAAACGCTTTGGAAATCCAAAACTTCTCTAACAAGGCTTTGGATTTCCCTGTGTGGTGGGATGTCTACAAATCTTTGGATTCTTTCAAGCCTATCAGTCCATAGATGATGTAAGGAGCCACCTTTCAAATGTTTTTCTGTAAGAGTCCTGTGAACCCAAGCTATGTAGTTGGGGATTGTGGGAGTTACAATCTAAAACATCTGGAAAGCACCAGTTTGCTTACCTTTAGCACAAGCCTTCCCTTCTCCTCTTCTGCTTCCTTTGTGTTCTTGACTACTTATTTGTAGTTATTTGTCCTACAATTCTATGCATACCTCTAAGGAAGTAAATCCTACCAGATATTGTGAGACTGATGTAATCAGGTGATCGTTTAAAGGAGTGGTTCCCAACCTTAGGTCTCCAGATGTTCTTGGACTACAACTCCCAAAAATCCTGACCAGAACAGCTGGTGGTGGCACCTTCTGGAGTTTTAGTTCACGAACATCTGGAGGCCCAATTTTGGAAACTACTGATGTAAAGACTTGTGCTTTTACTTGCAATCCTGTTGCTCACTTTACTTGAGAGTAAAACTCATTGCTCAGGACAAATGTTGATTAAATGAGCATAGTGTTGCCTGTAACAGACATTTTTTTTAGTTATGGTTTTCCAATAGGCTTATATTTGAACTCATTATGGTTCATCTCTTTTGATCTCATGAAGCAGAATAAAGGGTTAATGTAGGAGATAATGAAATTATAATGAATCATATCTCCAATCCAGTGAACAGAAACCTTTTTTTAAAAAAACATTTTTGATTCTGATTTCTTTTCCTTATGAAAAAAAAAAACCATTTTTGATTCTGATTTCTTTTCCTTATGTCTAGATTGGAGTACATGCCAGCTGAGTGACAAAGCTGTCTGTGGCAATGGGATCAAAACAAGAATGCTTGATTGTGTTCGCAGTGATGGGAAGTCAGTTGACCTGAAGTACTGTGAAGAGGTAGGTGGATGCTTTTTCAGTTTCTTGCTTTGTAAAAATACCTACTATCCTTTGATGCTTCATTTAGACAGAATCAGACTGGCACTGAGCAGCACCCTGTAGCCCACTCCTCAAACAGATGTTTTCCAAAGCTATTCATAAAGCGTTGAGTACCTCGTAAATGATCCTGTGTAACAATAGGTGATTTTGTCATTTAATTTCCTCCGTTTGCTTAAGTGTGTGGCCACAAAGGTATGGTAATTTTTTTCTTCTAATCTCTTAAAAGTAACGGTTTGGGAACAATAAGCAATCAAGGTGAATAAGTATAATAAATCTTAATCAGAATGATAATGATCGTTTTAATTGGAAATGATTCCTTTGTAGTGCTTTGGACATCTGCCAGCATCATCTGAATCAGCATGCCCTTCTTATTTTCCTTGCATTTTGGATTGGAACCAGTTTTTTTTTCCAGCCCTAGATTGCAGAGGCAAGGAACTTCTATGATAAGAACCAGTTTTTTTCCCCCCAGGTCCAGATTGCAGAGGCAAGGAACTTCTATGATAATATTTGAACAACCTAAAGCACTAGGAAAGTACTGTATAGCTTTTAACATCATTTGTGCATGACAAATTAATCCCTATTTAAAAAACTATCTAAAGGCTAAATAATTGGTTCACATTGTTGAAATGAAAATTGCCTCATCTTCTCTACCTTCTCGGTACAGACATTGCTGCTGTTTGGGGGATTTGGTGAATCAGTTTCTCCATATGTTCCATTGATTCAAATAGACCTACTATAGTTGCTACTTTAGCATAGTAAGGTGTGACTAGAGCAAGCCCATTGAATCAGTAGAACTTATGGAGGAATCAATTCACCAAATTTCCACTGATTCAATAGGCCTACTGTCGTTGTAACATACTACACTGAACAACAGCATTGTAGCCGCAAAGTGGGTTTCCCTTATGCACAGCGACCTTGCCAGTGTGGCTGGATTTACTTTACATTTGGCTGGATCTATTTATACATTGTAAAGTCTTAGGTAGACAAGAATGATTTATTTGGATGTTTGCCAGTAACTTCAAATGAAGTTTATCAGGGCCATGTATGTCCTTGCATCTGTAGGTGTGATTATACTTATAAATGAAACTGTGCAATTGGGTTCTGCTATGTTATTTTATATTGCTTACTTAATGAAACATGAAACATGTGGCTGTTGATATGGACATTTGAGAAGCTTGAATGTCTTTTCTGAAAGAGTAAGTAATTGTGGATTTAATTCTGGAGAGTCAGAATGGTCGGTTGGCTTTCATAAATTGGAACTGCTAGATCAAGAGGAATGAAACCACTCTACTTTCTTAAAGCTTTCACTGGTGACCAGTATTTTAATATTCTGTGTTTAATTCCACAAAATATGTTTTTAACAACATGCAGGAATAATGGGAGACATTATAACAGGAATGTTTTGCACTGCTTTCCATAGTGCAACTCTGACCTGTTACAGGACTAGGGAAACTTTGGTCTTCCAACCATTGATGCACTTGTATTCCCAGCTTCTCTTACCATCAGCCATGATGGCTGGAGCTGATAGGAAAGTTCAACATCTGGAGGAGAACAGGTTTCCCAGCTGTGACCAACTTCAATGCCATGTTTACCTTTTACCAGTCAGCTGGGTGGAAATGCACTGGCTTCTGAATTTGTGTGTATCCTTAGCTGGTTATCAGAGTCACTGCTTCACAAAGCAGCATACAAACACAACAGCCATGCTGGCACACATGCAGAAGAGTGTACAAAGCTGCACTAACCACACAAGCTCATTACAAATTCAGCAAAAGGCAGTTTGGACCCATCCTTATTTAATGGTATTACAGGTGTTGCTAGGGATATGTAAATGAGAAGGGGATTCCTCAGTGGTGGGCCTGCCACCAAGGTCTTATCTCTTGTCCATTCCAATATAACAGATCTGAATTGTTAGCACTGATGAAGGACCCCTGATATAGCTCCTAACGTCTGGGTAGAGTTATATGGGTGAAGGCAATCCTTCACATAGCCTGAAATTTGGAGTTAAATTTATAGCTGTTGGTGATACAGCTCCTAGGATTTAGAGGACAGGAAAAAAATCAGGTGAAAATGGCTATAGAAAAAAAATCAATAGCACTTCTATATTGAAGAGACAAATAATAGGCATTCAGATAGTGTTTTATATATATATAATGCAACACATGGGCCACTGACGGGTCATAAATTTTATGCCCTTCTGTTTCTAACAGATAAGAACACAGTAAGTGGCATAGAAAAGCCAGTGAGTGATCCACTGATGATATTCTGTAGAACCTGTTTATGGGATTAACAGGAGAATGTCGTTGCTAAGCTTAACATGTCTTCTCAGTGAAGGAAAGTGAAAGTTAAGTCTACAGTTTCATGTGACCAAAGCCAACTGAGTGTGCTGCAAAAAAGTCTCTGTACAGAAGACAGATAGATAGGCATGTACCAACCTGATTAGCTTGCTTATTTTATGTGTACTCTAAAGCAGTGTTCCATCATTATGGAATCCAGCGTTGTCAGCACTGTTAAAGGCTTCACTGCTACACATAATCAGGAGACTTTCTCCTGCAAACTCTTCATCATATGCATGGAGAAAGCAGTGATGATGAGCAGAGTTCAGTACTCCCCTCTAACTGTTGACAATTTCAGATTCTATAAAAAATGTATAAGGCGTTTGTTTGTTACAACCCACTTTTTAGCTTTCCTGTTTCTTTAAGAAGCAAAGTAATACTGTATAGTGATATTGATCCTCCTGTGGAACACATATACAACAAAACGGACAAATTAGGTTGGAATCAGAAGTGATTTGTTATGCTTTAACCACATTAAAATCAATGAGGCAAGTTAGCCCTTACTAGCTTATCCCCATGATTTTAATGGAACTGAAGTGTGACCAGCAATTTCTGGCTATAACCCAGGGCCGGCCCTACCATAAGAAAATGTGAGGCAGCTATTTTAGGTGGCCGATCCTTGGTAATAGGAAAGAAGGCAATTGTGGCAACTCTCTGGCCATGCTTCTGTGTCGGAGGATGGAGCTTAGTGTTTCAGGCAGCCTATCCAGTGCCCCAAATTAGCCTGTTGCGTCTCATGTATGGGGTGAATGCTCTCCAGTCACCAGTGTTGAAGTCAGTTAAGTTGGCTTTTGTACATGAAATGGGACACCATCTTTTTAGGTTTCTCAGGCAGCAAAATCCAACCCATTATAAAACATAAGTATAAATGGGCAGGTCTAAGATATGTCTTAGGCATGGTTCACACTGAATTTTTCTGTGCAGATGAGTAAATACAGTTTTATACAGTGGCTGTTACTTACTCCAGGGGCTACCTGTCATTATATATTACTATAAAATGTTGAAGTACTGTGGTTAGATCACAGCATTTCCTCTATTCAATTAATGAAAACCTATTTATCAATTTATTTTTCTAAATATTATCTTTTACTCTATGTGGGGAAATGCACAGAAAACCTACCAATGCAGTATTTGTTTTTACAAATGTTTTAATTGTGTGTTTGAGAGAGGAGGAGGGAGGGAGGGAGGGAGAAAGGGGAAGAGAGAATGGAGATCAAAACATTTTAATAAGTATTACTGAAATAAAAGATAACATTAAAAGACTGTCTTTAAAGCATTGAAATCAATAGCTCAGTTTTCATCTGCAGAAAAAAAAGAGAATTCTTCTTGATTGAAAAGGTTAGGTAAAGGTTCCCCTTGACATTTAGGCCAGTCATGTCTGACTCTAGGGCACAGTGCTCATCCCCGTCTCTAAGCCGTAGAGCCAGCATTTGTCCATAGACAGTTTCCATGGTCACGTGGCCAGCGCAACTAGACATGGAATGCTGCTACCTTCCCATTGTGGTGGTACCTATTTATCTACTCTCATTTACATGCTTTCGAACTGCTAGGTTGGCAGGAGCTGGGACAAAGCGACGGGGGCTCATTCCGTCACGTGGATTTGATCTTATGACTGCTGGTCTTCTGACCTTGCACCACAGAGGCTTCTGTGGTTTAACCCGCAGTGCCACCACGTCCCATCTTCTTGATTAAGTAGCAGAATTATCCTCAACTAAAATTAAATTGATAGTCTGTTTTACATAATCCCGAGAAAAGAGGAAAAAATTCAATATATTGAAATATGTTCTTTTAAATAATAAAATCAACATGATGGCATGCTCATTGTAATATGTTGTATGTATATTCGCCCTCAGTGTCCTAATGCATCTCTAATTATCTCATCCATGTTTTAGTCAATCTGTTAAATAGGCTGTCCCAACATGTTTATTGCTGCCAGGCTTAATTAATTCCCAGAGCATATCTTCATTGTGTCTCATTGTTTATAAGAACATCTCAAAGAACAGCGGCACATGAGTAGATCTCTGCTGGGTGCAAAAATTAGCACATCACAAAACTTTTCTTGTTTTTTCCTTGAGCTCTTTGAAATTCAAATCAACTAAATTCAGGACAGACCCCGTGCTGTTCGAAATACCCAGAAGCTTATTTGTTGCTCATTTACCTACATTAACAAAACAGAAGAGTTTTAAACCAAGCTTTCTTTCTGCCATTTGAAACCTCTCTTGTATGCAGCTGTATCAGCAGGCAAGCTTGGGTTTCTTTTTCATGTAGGTATCCCTCTTGATTTACTTGGGATTTCATTCCTGCTGAGTTTAGACAAAGATCTCTTGTTATGTGCCAGGTATGTCATTTATACAGACCTTAGAGTAGATTCACATGTTCCTTTTTTTCACACACAGAGCGGATGGTGGTTGTTTTCCCAGACTCTCTTTTGTAGATAGCTTTAAGTCTTGTGAATGATTCAACCCACCCTCAGAACATTCTGAAAGCAGTTGGAATTTTAAGGAGTGCAGGGTTCTGCTGCTGTCCCGCTGGAGAAGCCACTGTGAAAATAACAGAATAAAATTTAAGAACTCTGTGCCGCTTGGTTTAAACCAGAATAGAGCCAATAGTTTTCTGCCCCACAATAAAAGTTGATTAAAATAGCAAATGTAAGGTGATACAGTTATACTCAATTTCATCTCTAGTGAAGAGTAACTGTACATCTTTTGCTCTCATTTAAGCTCTCGTTGAATTGACAGACCCACTTTGTTTTTCTATGCCATTTGTTTGATTTCCATTGTTCATCATTCATTTTCGTTATACCAGCTCAACAGTGTTTCAGTAGATACATGCCTCGTTTTCTCATACCATAAATAAAGTGGTAAATCTGATCTTGGACTGTAGCATTTCAGATGACAGCTCTCATTACTGTCCTTCATATAAAACATTTCCCCCCAAACATGGGAAGATAATATGTCTGGCAGAAGGCAAGATTATAATTGCATGTACATGCACACACACCTGAATCATGGCTGTATGTTATCCAGTGGAACACACACAAGCCTGAGTCTTGCATGCCTGTCTTCTACTTTAGCCACAAAGAAATGTTTGTACAGAAGATTTTTTTTTTTACTAATTGCAATTGAGAGTTATGTCAAATGACAAAAAAATTGCAGTTTGTCTTAATTAGGCAAGCCTATTTCAAACTGTAATCTATGAAGATGATTTGATTTAGTTGATCCTGGCCAAATAAACTTCCTGTCATCTGAGAGATGAACTGAACATGCTGGCAGTGGCCGAGCCTAACAGTTGTAGTCGGCATAGCAAAGAGTAGCTGGTGCCCCGCTTACTCTTCCCCAAGCACATATACAAAAGCTTCCCTTCCTACTTTCTGTTTAGCATGCTGATCAACGCGTGTGTTACTTCAAAATACAAGTGACAGAGAGCCGAGGGATGAAAAAAACCCTATTGGTTTTGAGAAATGAACTCTTGATCTTTAGGATAGGTTTATTCTCTGTTATTTTATTACCTTGCGGGGGTGGCTTCTTTAGCCAGTGTGGGAACAATGCCTTGCTTTCTCCATGTTCGTGGATCAAGCTGTGTGAGTTTTTGTAATTTCTTCTCTTCCCCAGGGGAAGTGGAGACTCTGAAGGCAGCCATACACATGGTAATCATTGTTGAAGCCAACAGTATTTTCAGCATCCAATAGGTCAAGCGTAGACATGTCCTTTGAACATCAATGCATATGTATCAAAAATATGAACCAATCAGCTTTCTTAGCATTCTGTACAAAGGTGTTAAAAGAGGAGATATATATATTTGTGTGTATGTGCATGCACATTTGTGGAGCATGCATGCACACATATGCATGTGCATATTTATTATACTTAATAAGATGTCCAAACATTACATGCTTATTTGTTGCTATGAGAAACATGGGTTTTGCCCACAGTGGATAGAGTTATGCTGGGTTTTGGCTGCAAAGGCACTTCTGGCTATCCAGAGACTTTGGAAATAAAGAATGAGTGATGTAATTTATAAAGCCGAGAGGTCTCCAGACTCATTTAGGGAAGGTAATGATGCTGCAAATGGACAGCTCAAAGTGTGCAGTATATATTGAAGGGCAGGTAAGTATTAAATAGTATTGTAATAGCTGTGTAATATGGTTGGCACTGGCAGTTTCTGACAGTGGTGTGTTTTATTTCTTTCTCTTTCTTTTAAATTTCAGAGAATGTCCCATTCAAAAGGGGCATGTAGTGTTCCTGGTGTTCAGTTCTGGATATCAAGACCGTAAAGAAAGGATGCTTAACGAGTTGCTTGTGTTCTATGCAGGGACCAAGGCTGTGTTTAGGGTCTTGTGCGAATTAATATCATACTGAGGAAATGAATCCCAACTAATTATTATATGCAGTAAATTCCACCTCATTTCTCCTTTTCAGTTCCAGGTTTTTAGTTGTAAAAAAATGCAGCCATCTCTGGTTTTGCTTGAATACTCACTAGTAGGGATATCTTGCTCCTGACTTGCTGCAAATGCAGCCATCTCTGGTTTTATACCAGTATTTATTGCTTGAATACTCAGTAGTAGGGATATCTTGCTCCTGACTTGCTGATGGTTGTATCCTTTTTTCCTAGCTTGGCTTGGAAAAGACATGGCACATGAACACATCCTGCACAGTGGAATGTCCTGTGAACTGTCAGCTTTCTGACTGGTCTCCGTGGTCTGAATGTTCTCAGCCCTGTGGCCTTGCTGGTTAGTTCAGAAGCTTTCCTTTGGTGGGTACTTAAAATGTCTTAAAAGATGAGCCCAGCTCATATCAGTCACCAAGAAACAGAAGGGACATTTGTTTGGCTCAAAGGATTGATAGGTCAGGAGAGGCTTGCTTTGCCTGCATATAAGCTTCCCCTGCTGGCTGTGCTTGTGCTAAGAGGATCAGGGCTGTCAAAATCCATTTCTGACTTTGGGAACAGAAACAAGACTTGGCAAAAGCCACATGGGGTTGCTAAAGGGAGCTTTTTCTGCCTGATGGCGCCCAAATGGTTTCTTGGTGTCCAGTCCCTTATCGAATATAAAGGACTATATAGAAGTAGAATGGAGAGATAAATAAATCAACAAACAAATAAAAAAACCAATGTACAGTAAACACTATTCAATAAAAATTAGATTTAGACAATTGATTATGGAATTTTCATCTTGTAAAGAGCATAAGATTGTAGTTTGTCTTATGTTATCATAGTGGAAGGAGCACTATGGCCCCACAAATTTCTATATTAACTTTGACTGATAAGAAAGAAAAAGAGAGGGAGAGAGAGATCTTTCAGCACAGCATATGACCATGCTGACTATGGGATTCTGGGAACCTCAAACATTTCACATCTCTTCTAACTTTGTATTTATGGCTGGGAGCATTCAGCTAAGGTTAGAGAGAATTGCAGCAGTAGATGGAAGGGCACCACTAACGTCTTATACAGCTCTGCTGCCACTCAGTGGAGACTTACTGTTCATCCTTTAGTATGAAATTCCATCCCTCAGGAAATTATACCATTTAAGCTGCAATCCAACATACATTTACCTGGGAGTAAGACTGGATAAACTGAGTGGGATTTACTTCCTACTCAGTTATACTTTGGGCTGTACTGTTCAGAGATCTTGCAGCTATTCAGTAAATATGGTTTCTTTAATATTCCTCCATTACAGTGTTCAGCCCTTTTGTGTCTGCTTGCATTGACAACACTTTATGCATTTTTTCTTTTTCATAAAGTAGGATATTAAAGGAAAGTTCAAACAGGAGTTCTAGCCAGAGCCTAACTAGCTGACTGGGGAACAATTAAGGGGTACAACACTTCATAGGTACTCAGATATGCCCATGTCTCCTTGTGCCAGCATGACACAATTTATCCCAGTAATGAAGTGCAGTGCGTTAGGAAGGAAGAAACAGAAGCAGCCAAAAGGGACATAAAGAGGAGGGGAAAGTCCTTATGTTACTGTGTAACTGCTTGAAATACAGGAAGGGGTCCTCAGAAAAGTCTGAATGCCTTGTCTCCTGTAATGAGCCTGAAGGTCATTGGCTACTAAACATATCCTTTAGGTTCGTGTTAGTCTGGTGGAATATCCTGTCCCTGCTGAACATTATCGAGGTATAATAAAGATGAGGAGACAAACAGAATAAAACAGAAAGCGCCTTCTGTGTTCTACATAATCATCTCTTATGAACCCAGTAGACTGCTGTATTAAGCACAAAGAAATAAGATGTGAATGAGGCCAGGAAAAGACATTAGAGAGAGCCTGTGACTCAAAGAGGATGGTTATTAACTAATATGAGCATCTAAGTGTCACCACCTGAGCTTCTCCCACCTCCACTATTACACAAGTCAGCTTGCTTTGTTTGGTGTTTGGTCTTCGAGACTTAATATTCTTTTGAAGACTGATTTCACAAACAGGGAAGAATGACTTCCATCACTTCTTTGCAACATCAACTGGCCTGAGTCACTGTAGGTAACCCTCTCAGGTCCAAAGTACAGGTTCTGATCTGGAAGTTAGTCCTCACTTAAAATGAAGTGCCAAGTTTCAGCTTCTCTTTGTTTAGAAATAATTTTGGAGTCAGCCTTCTCCAACTTGGTGTTCTCTGGCTCTGCTAGACTACAGCTTCCTTCATCCCCATGGGGCATGCTGGCTAAGCAGGAGAATGGTATTTCAGCATAACCTTGAGGTCATCCATTGAGGAAGGCTGCTTTGAAGGATAATAAGATGACACTGAAGTTTGTAACCCCTAGACTTTAATGATTTGCCATACTCAGCTGAGATACAAGGGAGGTAAATCCAGTTGCTAGTCCCAATTAGTATAGCCCCTTGAAACAGTGAGGTTTACATGAGCATTGACTGAACAAGTTCTATTCATTCAGTGTATCTACTCTGGTTGGAACTGACATTTGGATTTAGCCCAAGGGAAGCGTGTCATACTATATGAGCTGTATAAAAAGGAGCCCAAGCCTATTCTCTAGGGCTTTGCATCCAACTGTAGAATAGCAGAACTACTCAACGAATCATCAAAGGATGGGCTTGAAACCATGATTTTTTAATGTATACAGCAAATCTTAATGCTGCCTTCTTACTTCTCTCCCTCTCTGTGCTTTGAAGGAAAGATGATACGGAGAAGAACTGTTATTCAACCCTTCCAAGGTGATGGGAGACCTTGTCCTTCACAAATGGAGCAGTTCAAACCTTGCCCAGTAAAACCTTGTTATCAGTGGCAATATAGTGAATGGGCTGAATGCAAAGTTGAGGTAAAACCAGATTTCTGAAGCCATTTATCCTTAAGGTATTTTGGATGATCCTACACACACAGCAGGCACATAAAACTGATCACAATGTACCACTGCACGAGGAATAGGGAATATGTGGCCATTCAGATGTTGTTGGCTGTGCTGAGTGGACTTGATGAGTATTACAGCTTGAAAGCATCTGGAGAGCTGTTGGTGTTTCCCATGCCTGTTCTGAAATCAGGCTGGCTTTGTGGTCTTGAAGTTTCCAAGGACGCCTTGAACAATGTCTGGGTCTCCATAAGCAGAAAACAAGAAAGAGATACCAGCTGTTGTCCTTGACATCACTTAACTTTTGTCAGTTCTGATGTTCACCCATTGACACGTGGTGGATTCCCACAAGGACTGTACCAATTCAGAAGCCTGTATCAGACTACATGTCTGAATAAACCATGTTAACCTCTCATTGCCCTTGTCAAAGTCAAGGTGAAAGCCTCCAGCTTCTTATTCTTGTTTGCATATGCAAGAAAATTTGGAGCAAAGCACACTCAGACTTAATATCACAGATATTCTGGTACAGATCCCTTTTCTTGCTCTACCACAGATATTCTGGTACAGATCCCTTTTCTGTACATTTATAAGTAGCAGCAGCCCACGGTAGCAGGTTGAGGAAGTGGGGATTGGAAAGAGTGGATGGCATGTTTTAAAATACCTTTTCGAGGAAATAGATGGCTGCCCTGTTATAATCTCAGCATAGACAATTGTAGAGTAAGCAGGAATCTATGATCCACAGAGCAAAGTATATCACAGAAAAGAGTGGGAGGGCACCTTTTTTTTTAAAAAAAAAGTTTCCATCAAGGATAGCTTTCCAGGGGTTTGTTCTGTTCCCCAGTGGCTCCAGTCAGCCTGCTGAGTAGTCGGGAACAATAAGTGTAGCAATTGATGAACACAGTGTGGTGCCCCACTGTTGACCTGCACAATTCTGTAGGTTGGCAGTGCCTGCTTGCTGGTTTTCAATAACCAAAGGCAAAATTAAGCAAAACAACGTGCTACCATTTAAGTGAAATTACTAATGGTTGTTTTGCATCCAGTGAGTATATGATGATAGCAAAATTTAAAACCACCTTCCTGTGTGCTGTTGTGCACACAAATAGAAAATATGCACATTCTTCTTTTCACTAAATCACAATGGATGGTATCCCTATAAACAATAATGTGGGCTTTAGGTTGTGTAAATCTGTGCATGTATTCCCAGAAGTAAGTTACACTGAATCAAGTGGAGGTACGGATATATAGGCTTGAAGCCTTAGGCATATTTGGGGCAGAACCAGTTATTTAGCCAGCATAGAGCAGACCACTAGTATATACATCTGGTTAGCCACATTATATTTATAAGCTTGGACTGCCCAATAGTACAAAAGCTCTGCTTAGCTTGGGTTGAATATTTTTATTTATTTATTTATTGCGGGGGGATTTGTTTCTCCTTTCTCAGGATGCCCAGTGTGGAGAAGGGACAAGAGCAAGAAACATTTCCTGTGTGGTTTATGATGGATCCACCAATGATATTGGCAAAATTGTTGATGAAGAATTTTGTGGGGAAATAGAACCTGTTGTGGATGGCAGTAAGAAAATTGTACTTGAGGAGACCTGTACCTTGCCCTGCCCAGGTAACTAGCCTGATTGCATGAATCAGAAGCTGCTGTTGTAGACATTGTTGATTAATTTATTGGAGGAAACAAAGCATAGAAGTGTACACTATTTCCCACAATAGGTTGCTTATGGTATGATATGTGCTTAATTAATTCAGCTCCCAGGTCACATGACTTGCCATTGCTAACCTGGTCAAGTGCCTTACTTACTGTCCTTTCTGCCTAGTCATCTTTTCCTTGCCCACATCAAGTGAAGAGCCCATGGTGGGGACCAACAACAAGACTTTCGTTTGTGTAGTCCACATGCTTACTTTTAAGCATTAGTTTCCAATGACAAGGTGACTTCCAGTGAGTCCTCCAGAGGCCTCCAGAGTGACCTGTGCCAAATACAATGTCGACTATTTCTTCAGTTTATCTAGAGCGACTCACTATTGTTCTCAACCATTGTTTTCACCCTTTGTTCTTTTTACAGTCCTCTATTTTTCATTCCTCCTCAAGTGGTCCATATCAGGGTCACACTTGATGTGACCAAATGCAGATTTTAGCTGCACACTGACATCATAAATGAAGGCCATGAGGCTGAGGTTAATGGTTCCTCTTTTGGCCACACAGGCAATTCTAAACAAGCAGGTGGACAGTTTCTGACTGAGATGCACTACATTCTTACATCCACCAAGGAGCACACTTCCTGCTGCCACAAAATTTTAAGCCAGCTGCAGCACAAATCCTGTGTTTTTCCTTTAACGTAAGCCATGTTTTCCCCAATGTACCTTGTTTTAAAGTGGCAATGTCAGTGGGGTCCACAGTGCCACATAGGGCAACAGTGGTGCTGAAAAAGGGTGCTGAGGATCCATACTAGGAGTGAGTAGATTCTGATTTAGCTTTTCATTAAAACATCTTTCTCATCTCAAGTCCAAATTCCAATACCAAGTCCAAAATAGTGCTACAGTACTTCTGGCTTCAATATATTGCTCATTTTAAAGAGAATCCATCTTTATAGATAGGAACGTATGTGCATTGTTCACTCAAAATTTTGTTGAGGAAATGACCTTTGCTTGAATGGTCCCATTATTTCACAAAAGGAAAGATTAACTGCCCAGTGGGGATGGGTTAATGATGCACTCTGGTTAATGTTTCTAAAGATCACTACATGACCACCTATTATACATACTTCGTTTATTCAATAATTCATTTCTTTACACAACTTCTTAACATGAGCAAATAAAACCCCTTCATTAAAGCATCCAGTTAACATAGAGATGATTTTATTTGTTGTCAACTTAATGTAGGGCGACATGAATTTTTAATCATCTTTTTGCTAAAGTAATTAAAGCTGTAGGCTCATTTGCAAGCCGGGATGCCTTTTGAGATTTATGGCTGTCTTATAGAGGACTTTATTGGCAAAAACTGACATTCCAGGAAACTGACACTCTCCTTACATGCTGTATTTTTTGTGTATCTCAATCTATATGGAAACATTGTAGATTTTTTAAAATGTAGAAGCTCCATGGTAGAGGCATTATGTCAGTTTAGTTAAAAACAGTTGCACTTTTTGGATCACAAAAGCCAAAATATCAGATTTTCAAATGAGCATTCTGTCAGTTCTTAATGAACAGGCTATCAGTTCTGACAACTGGGGGGTTAATCACCTGTGAAAAAAAGAACCCAAGTTATATGGATTCTTTCCATACCTCTGTTGTACCAATAATCAGTTCTTAATGAACAGGCTACTGTGAAAAAAAGAACCCAAGTTATACGGATTCTTTCCATACCTCTGTTGTGCCAATACATTTTTTTTTTTGCAGTCACATGGTATAGGTATCAGTGGGAGCGTTTACATTGTTGTTAACTATATTGATTCATTACTCCCTATTTGAACTGTTATTGCTGGCTACACATTGAAATCAGTTTATTTCCTCTGATGTTTCAAGGTTGCCTCTACTTTTCTTTCTTTTTAAAAAAAAATATATACATAACTGATGCATCAATATAGTGGAAAGATTGATCTGTGGTCCCTACTTCTCAGGAAGTAAAACATCATGGTCCCAATTCCCATCTGTATGACTTTGCCTGTTGGTAGATGAAGTTAAGCTCCATGTACCCCGCTATGGCATAATGCCACACAAAGTCAAACCATGCTGAGATTGTTCTTGTAATGTCAATGACATCGATCTATCTATATATCCCTTGCCAAATACTTTTTTTAAAAAATAAAGCAGGGCAGCGGTACAGCAAACATGGTGGCCACCTGCCTGGCTCATAGAACACGGATAGGGAAGAAATCAGTAGAAGCAGGCACACAGGCTAAATCAGTAAGGAATGAATTGATACGTCATCAGTTCAATAAATCACCATCCAGTCGAAGGAGAAATAAACTGGAAATAAACCACTGGCCAGGAAAACGAATCGATGCTGACTGTGCATCATGTGCTCGGAAAATTATGAAATGATCTTTAAAAAGGCCTAGTTGGGATAACTGGGGTTCTTTTGGCAGGTGTGTCTTCCAGGACATTGATTATTTATTTATTTAAAATATCTATATGCCACCTAAAGGATGCAAGGTGGCTTACAGTATTAAAAGAAAAGCTAAATAATAAATTACTAAAAAAATTAAAAAGCATTAAATGGAGATATTAAAACTCATAATAAGAGCAATATTTGAAACACAAGTGAAGCAACAGAATAAAATAATCCTTTTTAAAAAGCCACTTGGTCAGTTGGTCATTTAAAAGGAAAGCCTGCCTGAAGAGAAAAATCTAATAAACTAATCCTTTTAAAAAAGCCACTTGGTCAGTTGGTAATTTAAAAGGAAAGCCTGCCCGAAGAGACAAATCTTTGCCTGCTTGCAGAAGGACAGCAAAACTGGGGCCTGCCTGGCCTCCCATGGGAGGGTGTTCCAGAGTCTGGAAGCAGGGATTTAAGAGCTTGGAAAAAGATGAAGTTTATTAACAGTGTACCACTTGTTGAGTGGAATTGCTCACAATTATTTTGCATCTACTTAGTATATTGTGATATCAACCCAAGCACAGTGTCCACATTATATGTTACCAACAAAATTTGAGCAGGATAGCACCACTTTAAGTTGCACTCAAATAATTGTGCCGAAATATGTGGGACTAGATTCTGACATGATTTTTAAAAGAAGGAAAACCACCCTCCTGTTAGCATTTTCATTAATGTTTCTCTCCCTCTCTCCCTCCCCCCCCCCAATTATCGGGCAGGTGATTGTTACTTAAAAGACTGGTCAGATTGGAGCCTTTGTCAGTTGACGTGTGTCAATGGTGAAGACCTTGGCTTTGGAGGAATACAGGTCCGGTCGCGAGCAGTCATCATTCAAGACCTGGAAAACCAACATCTCTGCCCAGAACAAGTGTTAGAAACAAGAGAATGTGATGGTGAGTAGCAAAAACCCGTAGCAATGTAGGTGACCATTTTAAATTACGGACACTTTTAGTAACTCAACCTGGAGCAAACAGAATAGAACAGGAAGTTAACCTGCCTCTGTAGGAAGAGGAAGAGAAGGCAGACATAACCTCAGCTAGCCATTGTAGACCTGGCGGGGGCAATGTTGGGTGTTAATGCATGCATTCCATGCTGCAGGATCTAGCTCACTCCCAAGAATTCTAGTAGAAGAATTGGATAATGGTTGATACCATGGAGATCTGTTTCCATTCAGAACAAGCATTACTGGGCAATATAGAATTATCCATTCCCTGGCATCATCTGAACTGGATTACTGCAATGCTCTGTAGATACAACTGCCACTGAAGATCGCTGGAAAACAACAGTTTGTGCAAAACAGAGATCAAAGCTTGTAAATGGGAACTGCACATTGGAAAGATGCATCACCATCAGTGGAAATAGCTTCTGGTCCATGCTAACATTTGTATCTGTTCAAGGCTTAGGGCCAAGGAGTCTCTTCTGTGGCAGTGGGTCATTTTCAGATATCTGCACCCCACAAATCCTTTTCTATTTCCCTCATGACCCTAAGTGTTTCAAGAACCTTTGGTGATCTGTTGAGTGCTTGGATCACCCATTCAGTTGGGCAACTGAGCACAAGAGAGGCAACTGACAAAATGTGAAACCTGCTTGTGCCATTGCCTTTACATGTGGGGTGTTTTGCAAAACTACTTAGGCCTGTCTATTTTGTGATATTAGTATGAGCTGTCCTAGGAGAGTTCTCTTTGAGGGGCAGAATGGAAATGTCAAAATTAAGCATAGTAGGCATCCTTCAGTCTCGAGAGACTATGGTATCGTGCCCTGTATGGAGGACTTGGAACAGCGTCTAGTGTGGCTCAGAAGGCCAATTCGAGAGTGACAATCTCTTCCACAGTGAAGACAAATCCAATCTGTCCTCTGTCCAGCTCCCTGGTTTTGCTGCTTTTGTGATTTCCTCTTTGCCTCGGCCTGCTGGACAAGGGTCTCTTCAAATTGGGAGAGGCTGTGATGCAACGCCTGCCTCCAGGCTGAACGCTCAGATGTCAGAGTTTTCCATCTGTTGAGGTCGATTCCTAAGGCCTTCAGATCCCGCTTGCAGATGTCCTTGTATCGCAGCTGTGGTCTCCCGCTGGGGCGATTTCCCTGCACTAATTCTCCATACAGGAGACCCTTTGGAATCCGACCATCAGCCATTCTCATGATGTGCCCAAGCCAATGTAGACGTTGCTGTTTCAGTAATGTATGCATGCTGAAAATCCCAGCTCGTTCTAGGACTACTCTATTTGGAACTTTGTCCTGCCAGGTGATACCAAAAATCCATCGGAGGCAACGCATATGGAAGGTGTTCAGCTTCCTCTCCTGCCGTGCACAAAGGGTCCAGGACTCACTGCAGCACATAAGGGAAATATTCTGTGACATGTTTGTGTGGGCTTAATATAAATATATCATCCCTATGTCAAATAATTAAACAAGAGGGTGCCTTCTAGTCTGACAGTGCTAAACAAATTTTTCATGGATTATTGTTCCTGTAGTGAGTTGAATTAATGAGGGGAAACTCAAAATGGGAAAGAAATGAAAATAGTGATACTTTTTCAATTGCTGAAAATACATGTTCCTCAATCCAAGTACAGTGTTTCTGACAGCTTCCTTGTTTTCAATTCAGATGGCCAGTGTTATGAATATGAATGGCTGGCCAGCCCTTGGAAAGGATCTTCTCGGAGAGTATGGTGCCAAAGGTCAGATGGCTTGAATGTTACAGGTAATTGTTCTTCCTCTTTCCTGTTCTCAAACAGACTCAGTCTAGAAAAACAGAAATATACACTTTATGTAGACGTCCCAAAATCATCAGTTGTGTAAATGTAATTTGTACCAATGACTGAAATGAAAATGAAAATAGAAAACTCTTGCTATCCGTGGAATATTAGCATGATAGGCAGTTGAGCGGTTGCTTAAGAGTCATCAAAAGGCTGTCATAGCTCAGTAGAGCTTGAACACTTGCATTTCTTGGTATAATCAAAAGTGATTCAGGTTTCCTGAAGTCTCTCATGTAATATGAATGAGCCTATGCTTATTAGGGGTACTGCAGCCTCAAAGTGCCCAGAAAAGCTAATTAGGATTAAAGTTGGCCATAAAGTAGTTCCTGTTGCTTTGTACACATGACACCTTTCTCTTCTACTCAGTTTTATTTATTTAGGTTACTTTAGGTTACTCCTACTTTAGCACTTTTCGTTGTTATTGATGGCAGTGGAAGAGATACATTCCTGTTTTCCAATGAAATCAGTGGGAAGTAGTCCAATTTAATTCTGGCTAAATTAGATCCTTAGAGATTTACAACCTGCTTTTCAACAGGCATCCTTAAAGCAGTTTATAACACTAGTAAAAGTATAGTGGTGCCCCGCATAGCGACGATAATCTGTTCCGGATAAATCGTCGCTATCCGGAAAACTATGGAACCAACTATATTCCATATTGGCTTGAGTACAGTACAGGTTGAGGCAGAGCCTTCAGCATTCCAGATGTTAATGAACTATTATGATCACTGGCCAAAATCTTGTTGTGTAGTGTACTAAATTGCACTATACTAGCCCACTTAATCAATGGAACCTATGGAGGAGTTGACTCACTAAATCCCCATTAATTCAGTGGGGCTTACTCTAGTCTGATTTACTGTGGTAATCAACAGGATTTTGGCTATAATGTCTCACAATTACAAATGATTGCTCTTCATTTGTTCATATGCCTGCATTTTTGGACCTTCCTTGTGGGGAAGAGGCATGGCTGTGAGGCTTGTCATGGGCACCTGTACTTCCAAATTTACTAGTATATCACTGCCAACAGAGATTTCAGCATTGAAAAGCCTACTGATCTGTCTTTCTCTGTATATGTGCAAGAGAAAGGTCAGTTAGCATGCATTGCAATCTCACTGTCATTTTATTCCTCTGGGGAAAAATTGACCTAGAAAACTATTTGAGTAAGTAAATAAATTTTAAAAATTAAATAAAAAAAAAAAAGAGTAAGCCGGAATTTTTGGAGATTCTGTCAAGACTGATAGCTAACAGCTCTGTAGGGGAAGACCATTCATGCAGGTTGGGCTAAGCCCACTGAACTCAGTTGGACTTTCCTTCTGAGTAGATCTGCATAGAACTGTTTGTAAATAGACATGGAAATAAGAAATATTAATATACAATGTGATTTTTAAAATATATCCAGACAAGGTGCTTATTCAGATTATGTGCTCTCTATGACAAGATCTATACTCTGTTGCTAAGTAAAGATATTAAAGGACACAAAATCCTTCAGTTTTTGCTGAGTTAAGGAAATACTAGCTTGTTTTCTTTAGAATTATGTTCCCTATTCTTAATCTGGTGGGGGGGAGTTATTCATAATACTGCAGCACACACACACACCATAAATTTTACTGACTCATTATAGAAGATAAAATTTCCTGAAGGATATTGACATTGCTGGCTGTCAGCAGACAAGAGATGCATTCTGCTGAATTTTCTTGGAACTGAATTTATTGCAATGATGCTTTTTATGTGTAGCTACTCGGTAACAGTGTCCGAATGTCAATGTACCTATTCCATTTGTATTTACTTAGATCCAGGTGTTATTTTTGCAGATACCTTAATACACAATGAAACGGGTGATGAAGCTGGTCTTGCCTCCTGTAGGCCCCACGATGGCTGACATTTTGTACCAAGGGCTGTCACAGGCATGTGTATCTTTACACCAGGACATACAAACCTTATCCCATTTCACATGTCAGCTAGCAAGGTTTTTGGGGGCTACTGTCAGTCCTTTTGGTTAACATACAGCGATCTAACTGCATCTAACCTGCATCATCTGTGATCAGGATTTCATCATTGTTTCTTAGTACCAGAAACCAGGGCATGATTGCTTCGAGATTATTGGGAATGCTAGCTAGATAGCAAAATGATGTGCATTGTCTGAGTTTAATTAAGTTCCCTACTCCTTTGCAGAGATAAAATTAAATAATGGACTGCTGTTCTGAACAATGGCAAAAACCATTCTAGATGGAAACAATGATGAAAGCTTGTGTACACTTATTGATTTAAAACAATAACTGTGCAGCATTCGTAATGTTGCAGCCATTGAGAATTAAGAACAGAACCCTGAGAAAGAATCAAATAATTTGGTTTCATTTGTTTCCCTTGCTTTTGGCATGAAGAAGGACAACCCATACAGTAACATTTAGAACCTGGCCCAGGGGATCATGCTTCTCCATCAACTAAGAATATTTAAAAGAGGGATGGGAAGTACCAGCATAAAGACCTAGGCTGGAGTATTAGTACAAGGAAGTCTAATTATATGGAGAAAGGGCTTGCAAGAATGTTGCATGGTGTTGTAATGTATTATTTCCTGTGGGATCTGTATATCTGCTCCTTGGTTTGAGGATTAATACAAAAGATATGAATCATACGCCATATAGAGAGACCGTGTTTCCTACTGTGTATTTCTCATGACCACGGGTCAATATTGTTAATGGCATCAGTCGCAGAGTATCCAGCCAATGTATAATACACATGCCTCTCACAACGAAAAATAGAAAAATTACAGATCCTCCAACCTAGTCCTTGGTTGAATACAGGTGCATGGGTTGATGTCCAATATAGCCTGTCCATTTTGAGTGACACTTCAACCTGATTCTTGTCCACACCTTTGGTTGTATTTATACTTTTCCTGTTGTCTATGGTCATTTTAGGTTATAGACTGAATTTTGGAGGCAACACAAAATGGCTTCTGCTCAGCAGCGGTCTGCAGAGCTGGGCAACCTGTTATATTTTTATTTTCCCCCTTTTTTCCAGCCACCAGGAGAAACCTCTGGTGTTGAGAGATAGGGAAGGGAGTGAGGGACCTGAAAAGAGCCAAAGGCATGCTCCTTCTTGATTCCTTCTTTAAAAGAACAACGTGGAGAACCTGCTCTGCTTTACACCGTTTTCATCCTTCCTTTTCTAATGTCCATTCTGTTCCCTCCTCCTGAAATCAAGGGTGCAGAACCCAGAAGACTTTGATGGTTTAATTAGTGACTTTGCAGCAAGAAAGGCAAGGAAGGTACACTTCTAAGATAAAGAGTACTGTATTTTTCCATGTATAAGATGATACTTTTATCTAAAATCTTTAGACTAAAAATTGAGGGTCATCTTATACACGGAAGTAAGGGGAGAAGGGATCAAAGTGCTGCAGGATCGCAGCTCTTTGATCCTGCAGCCCCTTGATGGCGGCTTTCCTTGCCACTTCCTAAGCCCCGTGGGGCTTAGGAAGTGGTGGGGAAAGGAGCCATGAAAAGGCTGCAGGATCTAAGGGCTGCTTTCCCCTTCCATTTCCCAAGATTTCTGCTTTCCCCCTCCATTTCTGCAGCCCTTTGATCCTGCTTTCGCGGGGCTTAAGAAGTGGAGGGGGAAAGCAGCAATCAAATTTTCTAATTTGAGGTTAGAAAAGTGGAGGTCGTTTTATACATTGGGTCATCTTATACATGGAAAAATATGGGACTTTGTCCTTGTCTATTGCTGCCAACTGAGTATCTTGCTTAGTTTGTCTCCCCCTCCCCCACTTCTAATCATGGCACAGGAATGCTGGATTTAACATGAAGGATCCATGGGACATTGTTCTGTCCTGGGCTTCCTCTTCTACTTCATGGTACCATCGGAAATGCACAAATGTGTCTGATTCAGTTCATATTGACACATTTGTCAAGGCGGTGCATATCCCAAGTAGAAACCCAGGTTTTGCAGGACACCTTCACATACTCTCAGTTGGTTGGAGTTTTCTTTTGAACAGGCAGCTAGGCCTATGATAGGCCACACAGCCTTCCAACTTAGGCCATTCTTGCAGGTGTCTATTTGGGTGTCTGTAAGTGTCTGTCTGTCAGATGAGACTCCTAGAATGGAAAATTATGGAATCTGTAAAAAGAAAAAGAGTGAGAGAGAATCAGAATGGCACATCCATAGATTTGTAACATAACCACGTGATATTAATGGCTATCAGCTGCACATGTAACACCATCAGCGGCATATATATTTCCTTGGAGAAACTGAAGGAGTAAGAAAGCGTCATCGTCCATTATGGGATATCATTTTTCTTTTTCCTGGCTCAAAGAACATTACAGTTAGTGAGGCACAGCTGTGTCAAGATATGATTTGTTTTGTTCCACAGGAGGCTGCTTAATGATGCACCAGCCAGATGTTGACAGGTCATGTAAACCACCCTGCAGCCAACCCCATTCTTACTGTAGTGAGGTATGTGCTAACTGTGTTCATACAAGCCTGGTGTCCAATATCTGGTCATAGTAACATTTAGGTACAGCATACTGGATGAGTAGGGAAAGCAGCATTCTTAAAAATAAAACAAAATACAGAATCGACAGACAAGGCGATACCTTTTGTAGAATGGGAGAGAAGGAAATCCTAAAAAAAAAGGAGTTGGGATCCTGTCCATTGTATTTTATTTTCAGGATCAAGACAACTTGTGAGGAAGATTGCTAATGGGAGCCAGTGTAATGGATACAATCCTAGAGTAGGACTCAGGAGACCTGGGTTCAAATCCTTGCTTTTCTGTGGAAATGCCCTGGGGAACATCCTGGTAAACCACTCCTTGAATAGATCACATGTTTCAAAAACCCTATTAATTTTGTCATAAATTGAAGGCAACTTGACAGCATGTGCTACCAGTAGCATTATTTTATTTTATTTCTATTTATTTTATTTATATCCCGCCTAAGTATGAAACCACAGTACTTAGCTGAGAGATTGACTGACTGTGTTGGTGACTGTTCAGAAGTATATTGGAGCTTCATTGCTCCTTATAACCTATACGGAACCTCAGTACTTAGCTGAGAGATTGACCGACTGTGTTGGTGACTGTTCAGGAGTACATTGGAGCTTCATTGCTCCTTATAACCTATTTAACTTAGTGAGAAACTCCGAGTAGGGGTTTTCAGTCCCCTTTGCAGAAGGATGAAAAACAATTAGGTGGATTACAAATGGCACCACTTTACTGAAGGAATGTGGTATTCATATAGCAGCCAAGACTAAGTAGAAGGAATAAATACAATACCCTCCTATGGGGGGGAACCTAACATCATTCACGACACCTCTAATCTCAAGTCTGAGTTACCAAGGGCTGGTCTTGCTGTCAGGAAGTGTGAGTAATTTATACATAGTAGCAAACTCTGTGTACAAGGAGCCATGGGGAAATTGTGGCAGACAGAACTGTGTGCCACGTGGCACATCTGTACCCTTTAACTAAACCTGCTGGCTTCAGGTACAGTTGGCAATGAAGTGTTGAAGTGATATTCAACAGCAGTGTATATGGAATGGGATTCTGTGTCATTTTGCCCTTCATCTTAGGCAGCCAAATGCCTCAAACTCAACATCACGTCAGCTTCCAGTGTTTGGGAGTGTTACCTTTTTGGAGCACCATGCCCAGTGTTCCCCCGGCAACATGACCACTGGATTATGGGAGTTGTTGCCCAGAAAAGAAACTCTTCCAAGCTCTGCCCCTCTCCTCCTTCCTCCAACCATGGAATTCCACCTTCCTCATTGGTCTTACAGCTGCTCAATCCTCTAGGCCAGTGGTCCCCAACCTTGGGCCTCCAGATGTTCTTGGACTTCAACTCCCAGAAATTTTGGCCAGCCAAAGGGGTGGTGAAGGCTTCTGGGAGTGGTAGTCTAAGAACATCTGGAGGCCCAAGGTTAGGGACCACTGCTCTAGGCGACATTAAAAGTCCAGGCATCTGTACGATCTGTTCCTGCTTTTCTCACACAGTCACAACTCATTCAGCATCTCATATGCTGTGAAGCTGTTTTGTTGTTGTTGTTACTCCCCCCATGGTATGTTGTATAGCACACAAGCAATGTACAGTTTTGCTACAGCACGTAAAATACTTCTTCCTCTGCAGACCAGAACATGCATTTGTGAAGAAGGGTACACAGAAGTCATGTCCTCTAATGGCACACTTGAGCAATGCACTCTCATCCCAGTGGTAGCCATACCCACGGTGGAGGACAAAAAGGGTGATGTAAAAACCAGTCGTGCTGTGAACCCCACACAGCCATCCAGTACCCAAGCAGGACGAGGAAGAACTTGGTTCCTGCAGCCTTTTGGACCAGGTGAAGTTTTACACAAAATAGGTAGTGTTTCTAAGTATGATCACTGCACGAAGTGGACTTTCTGGCAGTGCTGCATAATGTCCACATAAGGTCAAGTTGGAGGTAATGGCTGGAGAGCAAAAACATCATATCTTTTTGCTTACAGGAGACAATAAAGGGGGCAGCTTGTCATATACCTATGTTTCAAGCTCTTTGTATATTAATGTTTAATTTGTTAGTGTGACTCTAAGGTTAAATGTTAAAACATTTCACCATAAAAGTGCAATTGTAGTATAAAGACATACATGAGACAATGAGAGATGTAAGCATTGCATAGTCTGGTGTCTTTTGTTGCACTGATGGTAGAGAGTGTCAGTTAATGCTATAATACAAGAAAGTCCTGCTGACCCTAGCAGGGATCATTTCTGAGCCTGCACTTATAAGATTTTATCACAAATTGTCTCCACGACTGCCAGATGTGATGCATTCACTTCCAGTGAAAGCAGTATATGCAGTCTGATCAATGGGACAAATGGAAACCTAGACTTCTTCAAAATAATATGTTTACAAAATAACCTGTCTGGGTTTTAAGCACATATGTATGTAATCTATTTAGCCTCAGTCAAACCCATTTTCAATGGAGGTTTGCACAGATAAAGAACAGGTTTTGTTCTTCAATCTCTGGCTGATTTTGCAGTGGCATATTGCAAGCAGAGATGCCATCATGCTTCACAGCTGAACAATTTCATGAAACATCCAAAACGCATTACAACTAATAGTACTTGTGCTGGCCTTTTATGAGATGCTTTCCATTTACTTATGATACCCTGATGATACTGCATTCTAACTGTGCTCAATACTAACTTGTCAACTCATGACTAACATTGATTCCTTTTAGATGGGAAGTTGAAGACCTGGGTTTATGGTGTAGCTGCTGGTGCATTTGTTTTGCTCATCTTTATTATTTCTATGATCTATCTAGCCTGGTGAGTTTCTCGGCCATTTATTACCTTCTAGACTACTGCTATTAAAACCATTAGTGTCAGATGTATCAAAAGATATATACCTGCACCTAAATATTTTGTATTTTTGCCTAAAATTGATTTACTTTATCCTCCTTGGCACTGCATGTTAAATGATAAACGGGAATGGCTTCTGTTGTTGTATACATTTTGCAACAGCATTCTATATTGTTTGTGGCTTTTGATGTTATTGTTTTTTAAATTGTATCATGTTCCATTGTTGTTTCATTTTGCTTTTATTTAGCAAAAATGCATTGTTCATATTTTTCAGATGAAATATTTCAGTTACTGAAATTTTCTCTCACACTTCAATGAACTAGTGTGTTGAATGTTACAACTTTTAGGGAAAGAACTATATAGTTGACACTTTCATTTATGGATTATCACATGCATAAATGTAGGCATCTAGGCTGAAATGAAAAGCCAAGCCATTGTGTTTAAAACACTGTTCACCTAATTTTAGTGCCTGAATTTTTAAAACCAAAAATTCATTGCAGAAAAGTGATTTTTTAAAAAAAAATGTGTTGCAGCAAAAAGCCAAAGAAGCCTCAGAGAAGACAGAACAACCGTCTGAAACCTTTAACCCTGGCTTATGATGGAGATGCGGACATGTAAAATAATGACTTCCCTTTGACTTCACTCTCCTGGAACCACAGCATTTGAAAACAGCATATACGTTGTGTATATTACAGAGCGAAAGTTACACGGCAAGACAAAAAAAAACAACAACAAAGGAAAAAAGACTTTACAACAGCCATGAATATTCCAAGAAACATGCTTTAATTTCAGGTGGCTAATTCTATTGTAAGCACAGCAGCTGGGACTTTTGATGTGGCCTTCTTTGAAATACATGCACTCTGCAGCCAGCCACTTGTGTCTCCAGTCCATTGTATATGACCGATATTGACATCTGGAAGTATTGATGCCAGACCTATCAGCTGCATTAAACTAGTGTTACTCAGCAAGCATGAAGAGATCATACCAAGATGTCTATAATGCTTTATATACAGTTTATATACTCAATTGCACTGTATGTATTAATCTGTCAAATGATTTAATGGCTACAGAGCATTTTAGTGCTTAGCAACTTGTGACCTTTAACAAAACAACCCATATTTTGGGCAATGGAAGGTCTTCCTCCCCCCCTCCCCATCTGCCCTTCAAAGGGTGGAGGCTTGCAAAAGACTCTGCCCTATTCCCCAGTCCCAGGTATTAAAACGCCATACACACAATTATGGAGAGAAGCATTTTCAGGTTCAATATTTTATAGGGGTTGTCCACAAATTTAATATCTGTGTGTATAATGTTTTTACCTTCTCTAACTCTCAAAATTGTTGCCTGCAACTTTTTTTCTCCTACATGTAAGGCAATTTTTTGCACTATATTAGTGCAGCATGATATGCACTTATTAAACTAGTATTGCCATAGAAACTGCCTCTTTTCAGTAAGGATGACAGTAAGGATGCTGCATCTTTGCAAACAGCATTAAATAGACATTCACCCGTTCACTGGATGCTGACGAGAGTAGAGATCAGTTTCTGGACTGTGACTGGATCAAACCAGCTAATACAAGTACTGTCAATACCATTTCTTGTAACAGTAACCGTTTTGTAGTTGACAAACCATGGCAGTAATATAAGTGTCGACTTTCTGATTCTGTCCAACTTATACAAATAATAGATTTTCACGTTGGTTTCTAATTACTTTGAAGGTTGTTTATGACTAGATTTTTATATTGCTAACTTTGTAAAAAAAGAAAAGAAAAAAAGGGGTTGCTCTCTGACCTTGGGGGAAATGTTTGTCTAAACAATATTCCAATTTGTTCATGCAAAAGGTGCATTAACAGTTGATTTTTACCTCTACCCACAGAAGGTATTTTGTTTCTCAAGCATTGATAGCCTTTTTCCTTTCCACTTGAGATAACCTGGTGTACTCTTTTCCAACTAGAATCTTCAGTTAAAACAGAATATATTAAAAAGGAAATACCAAAACAAACAAAAAACAAAAAAACACCACTGTACATTTTCCATCTACCCCAGTCTAAGAGTGGGAAATCTGAAATTGATATTTTCAAGATTTACATTGTCCTCTGAATGGGATACTATTACCCTGTGCCATCCTGATTCTGTATCCTGTTGGTAACTTTTTACAGCTGCTTAATTCTTATCAGTCTCATCAACTGTTTCCAGTCTAATGGATTGAATACCCATTGTAACTCTATTACTTACAAGATGAAGCCTGTTTTGCTGCAAAATAATCTACAAACTTTCCAGTATATATGGGTCATTCTTTCAAGATCACATTGATGTCTATCCAGATCTAGTTATAAACTTAAGAATAAGCAATATAATTGAACAACTTTACTTAGGCATCTACATTTTTTATTCTGGCTTCTCAGGTCTATATCAATAAGATATGCCAGTCCTAATAGGCTTCAGATGCTTGGGCCATTCAATGGAGACCCATTATAGCACTCTCAATTCTTCTGGGTCAATATAGTTGTTTAGATGGGGAAAATATGCTTCCGTCACCACTGCAATCCCAAGTGGGGCCAAGTAGGACTACAAAGTGGTGGAGCAAAAGCCCATGTTAACTCCTGCTGCCAGAGCAGGAGTGTAGGAATCATTGTATCTTCTGTTTTATGCCCTACATATTGAACATATTTGTTTGATTGCCCTCCATTTAACAATAAGTTCCAACGAGGGGAGTTACATTCTGCCAGTTCCAGTTTGGCATGCAGGGGGAGTCATCCAAGGGACTTATCAGCAAATGATGGGTCCTAGGAGGCAGCCAATCCCAAACCAACCTGCCTCATCCCCAAAGTTCCCTATTTGAGGACTACCATATTCAGAAACATTTCCAGCAATAGAGATGTGCTGCAGAGCTATTACAGGTACTTTTGGGTCCTCCAGAGTGGATGCTAAAAGGGCACTTTGAGCTCTTCCTAAGTCCATCAACCATAGCAGATAAGGGGCTCAGGACTGCCCTCTCTTTAACATCAGCTATACAGTGGGGTCTTGACTTGAGAACTTAATCCGTATTGGAAGGCGGTTCTCAAGTCAAAAAGTCTGTAGGTCAAGTCTCCATTGACCTACAGTGCATTGAAAACCGATTAATCCCGTAACAGGCCGTTTTTGTTCCATTTCGGGGGTTTTTTGGTCTGTAAATCAATTCTCAGGCTGCAAGTCAAATCTAAATTTTGTGGCCAGAGAAGTCTTTAACTCAAAAAGTCTGTAAATCAAGCCATGTGCAAGTCAAGGGTCCACTGTAATTGTATGTACTAACCTGTTGGGGGTGTTCTGCTACAGGCTCCTACTAAATCTTCTATGATACTGATGCACATAGTTTCAGAAGTATGCTACTTTTGTAATAATAAGGATTTGCCATTGTCTGTGAAATGAATCTAGACAGAGCCATACAAATGCAGGAAAAGAATAATTATTCTAGGTGGGGATGGAGAAGAATTTGATTAGGTTTGACAGCACTGGCAAAAATAGCCTTTTTCCACCTTGTACCCAGACAAATCAAGAGTCATCTGAAAACTCTATACAGTTGTGAAGCCACACCAGTGCTCCCCAACCTTGGGTAACCCAGGTTTTCTTGGACTGCAACTCCCAGAAGCCTTCACCACTAGATGGGCTAGCTGGGGTTTCTGGGAATTGTAGTCCTAGAACACCTGGTTTACCCAAGACACTTTGTAACACATGTGTTACGCATTTGAGGGCAAGAAGACAAAAACCAAAGTCTCACAACCTAATCCACGTAAAGGATAGGAAGAAAATGAAGGTGGGACTCAGAGAAATGCAAAGAAAATGAGAAGGAGTTTTCCATATTCCTAGTTCTGAGCAGCTCTGAGAAACAGATCTTTGGAAAGATGGGTACTATATAAGATTAGAAATGAACACAAAATACAACAAATTTGCTAATGTAAAACGGTAAGACCCAGCTCGTACATGGGTAGGAAGCCTTTATGCCCTCAAATATTTTGGACTTCAATTTCCAGAAGCCCCAGGCAGCATGGTCAACCCTAAAGGATTATGGGATTTGCAGTCCAAAACATCTGGCGGGTCAAAGGTTCCCCCCTCTATCTGCTGATGGAATGTTTGGTTGAAGCATATTGGATGAACAGTGCAATCCTTTACTTGTAAACAAGTCCTGATGTCTACTGTGGGGCTTACTCCCAGCTAACAACTGCAGTATCAAACATGTCTGTCTTGAATTTATATTAAAGAGCATATACAAAATTAGAGGCACGAGGGTTTAGGGCCTGAATGGTTTTCTTTCATTGTAAAGAGAGCATTATTTTAAAAGATTATCAGAGCCATAGCAAGGCTACAACTGTGGTCTGGATTATGTTCAATCTATAGATCAGACAGTAGCATTGAAGGAGCAATATCTGTAAAAGTTGCTTTTAAAATGTGAGTGTTTCTACAAATCCAGTGCCTAAAGCAAGCCACTATGGTAGATTGCTAGTTTGTGGGAAATAATGTTTTCAGTGATCAACTATCTTTAATCCATTCCAAAAATAGCTGAGTAGACATTTTCTTCTTGTTGTGGCCATTCGTAATGTTCCTTTTAAAATGGTGGATTTTTAAAGATTGCTGTCTGTTTTGAGTCCTGGAATCATTTCTTTGCAACATTATCTGGTTCTGCACAAGCCTAATTAAACTTTTTATAGTCAGTTTCCCATAGAACTGCAGAAAATGTCAGTGTCTTTTTCAAATTCAATAGGCCAAGAATGATTAATTTTAAATAATCCTGGTAAATATCACTGTACGAACAAGATCTCTGGAAGGAAACAGATCTGTCTTTTTACCTTTTGTAAAGTTGTGCTCACCCAAAGTTTTGAAAACTTGTTTTGCCTAAATTACAAGGCAATCCTATACGTCTACTCGGAAGTGAACCCCATTGAGTTTAATTGGACTTACTCTCAGCTAAGTCTCTATAGGATTGCAGCCTCATTTTACTTGAATTTTGTTTTTATTTTTTTCTAGATTATGAAGGTGGCTGTGTGGGGGAATGTTTACCTTTTTGTTAATTTGTAAATGGTGTAATGCATTTTTTTAAAAATTATGTATATTTCTTTTTTTAATGCACAAAATGTTTACGTTCCACTACTGCAAATTTGTGTACTGTATATTGTCACTGAGCTTTATTCAGTTAAGGTGGATCACATGTGAAAATATAAACATGTTTATGTTTTCATATGAGATATTTGTACATAACTGAGGTAATGCAGACAATAAATATTAACACAAAAATGGGTGTGTGAGCGTGTGTTATTACAAATATATTGGCATGGAAAGATTAGTGTAGGGCAAACACTTCCGTTTTGTTTTGGTTCTTTTGGGGAAGAGTCTCTTTCATTTTCAGGTCTTTCGGATGAAGGTCCTTCCTTTAAACTCAAAAAAAGGGATCACCTTTTTATAATGTGGAATTGGGAGCCCCACAAAGTTGAAGTGGAAAGGGAGATTGATGAAAAGATCTAGCAAGCTGTCACGTTCCCGGGGGTTACAATAGCAGAGTCTGATAAGCCAGTCCTATGTCAGGAATTCAGGGAATGCAAAGACAATATCCAAATACCAAAGCCAACCTCACACAATGTAGTCCAGGGTCAGAGTCCAAAGCCAAAATGCACAACATAGTCCGGGATCAGAGATCAAGGTTGTCAGGAGCATGGATTCAACCCCACAAAGTTGAAGTGGAAAGGGTGATTGATGAAA